GATAGTGAGGTTAACATTCAAGTTGGATAGACAAACTCTTGCTTCATCATTTTTGTTGAAGTGTGTAGGATTAATATTTAAATCAATTTCTCATAAAGGCATTCTATTTGTAGCCATTCTATGAATGAATAGATAAAAAAAAAAAATCATGTTGTTTCTTTTTATAAAACAATTTTGTTGGGAAATCAAAGTGTAACAAAATCAAAATGAAAAAATTTTGGTGATGAGAAAACTACAATTGAAACTAAAATGAAAATAAAAGGACATATGAAATTGTAATGGGGAATATTTTGGTAGTAATGGAATTGAAAAAGTAGTGCTCAATTAATTGTGGAGATAAACATGCATAGGAAATCATTTTTGACGTTTCACATTACCTAATAAAAATTAAATCCTACTTGATAGGAGTCACAGGTGGATCAACTTTATTTCTAGATAAGAAGATAGTGTAAGTTGGAGATAAAAAGGATAAATTAATCAATTTAAAAATAAATTTTCTCATAATTAAAGTTATTAATTGCATTTGTTAATATCTATAATAATAAAAAAAATTCTAAAACTACATATATTTTAAAATGGATGGAGTCATATGCACTTCAAGAAAACTTAGATTTACTGATGACAATCTAAGTTGCTGGTTAAAATTCCATTGGTATAAATAATTTGTTATTTATTTGATTTGTCAATACAAATACAGTTTTATGCCTTTAGTTATAAACTAAACAATGTGAAAAGGAAGAAGGAACAAGCATGATGATCCCATGTTCGTTCAACAATTACTAGCAAGCAAAACTCCCAATTCAAACATGAAAATGGCTATTAACAAAAATCTATGGGCTTACTTGGTTGGGGGTAGTGGTTATTCCTTGGTCAAACTATAAAAACAAGCTAAAATTGAGAAACTTGCAAAGGAAGAGTTAGGAATAGCTAAGTCTTAATATTTATTTTCTCTTTTACATTAGAAAAGAATCAAGGAATACCTATTCCTTGAAAAATAAAAAAAATACATATTATGCATTCATCCCTTAGTATAGTAAAAAGTTATAAATGTTAAGGTTTAACTATTTCTAATTTCCTAAGAAAGTTTATTAACTTTATTTTATTTTCATAGTTTAACCAAGAAATAACCACTACTATGAACCAAACACGACTAGAGAGCTACAGTGGCCAAAGAAATAATTCAAAATCATTCAATTGTGAATAGTTTTAATACCTTTAATAAGAGGGGGAGAAAAAGTCCCTATGGTCATATAGAGACCTTAAGCTTAAATTTATGTTTAAAAATTTAGACAACACTAAATTCTTAAAGTTGAGGAACATTTACATTTTTCAACTTCAAATTTTAAAACTAGATGAACATTACAAGCTAAATTGTTCTATCCCTTCCTTCACAAGTATTATGTAGAAAGAAAAGAAGAAACAAGTCAAACTTGGAAATGACAAAAGTGTAATTACAAGTAAATGTGAAGATTAGTATACTACATTAGGCAACAAAAACAAAACTACCACCTAAGGACAAAGTATAGCATGATTGATAGCGACCTCTCTCTTCTAAAGTTGAAATCCTCTGTTAATTCATTCATTTAATCCTACATGTATACATACAATTTAAAACCAAAATTGTTACTTGTATGATAAGCTAAGTAGAACTATAAAAATCAAACAATCAATTTGCATTTCAAGGTAGTTAACTTACCTTTATTAGCTTTGACAACTAAATGCAAAAGGGAAGTCCCTTGTGAGTTGTAGTTAGGGGTGGGCAACGGTTCGGTTCGGTTGGAATCGAACCCAAATTGACAGTTTTAATCGATTGATTTTTTTGTAAGATAACAATCAAAGACTAAACTGAATAACACTTCGGTTATTCAATTTTATAATCGAATTAATCAATTCAGTCAGTATCAATCTTGGTTTTAACCAATCCCCGCCTTAGCTTTTTTTTTTTTTTTTGGGTTTGGGCCTTCCATTTTATGGCCCAAGTATCCAATGAATCTTTGTGATCCATTTCCTTTAATTTCATGATCCAAATTATTTGGACCAAATATCCAAAGCATCAAAGCAAATAATCCATCACATTTCACAAGTCCAAAAAAAAGCATCAAAAGTTGTTAAATAAAAAATTAAAAACAACGTTTCAT